GGTGGTGAGGATCGCTTTCACACGGCGCGCCAAATCGTGAAGTTCGTTGACGAACCACGTCACGCAATCCTCACCGCGATACGACTTAAAACTAGATAAAGAATTATCGTACGTGCAACTTACATAAAATCCTACGCTAAAGGCTCTGTGATGTTGGTAGGCGTAAGTAGTACCGTCCTGATCCTCCTTTTTCTCGAGCGTACATTCGAGATCGGCGTACACTACGAACGGGAGCCGCTCCTTCCAACTATAGTGGTGAAACGTCAACCACTTTTTGTCCTCGCTGGGGAGAACGACGGCGCAATCGTTTATCTTGCCGCAGTCGATGCTGTGCGCCGATAATTTCTCCTGTGTTTAAAAGTAGTGTAGACACCTGTAATAATTTGTATGATTAATACTGTGAATAAAGTTTCGAATTATTCTATAAATGTGTTTTTACTTACCGATCGCAAATGTACTTTTTACATTTGTGCATGCTCAGTTGTGAGCTCACCAACCGCGGCAGGTTCTTTATGCACGCAAAGTGTGCATCGTTGTTTTTACGCACGTAGAGCAGGTTGACGTGCTTCTCCTTTTTGTCGTCGGCGAACCGCAGAGGGATGATTTTTGAGTCTTCGGTGGTGAAGACGTTGACCCCGGCTTCGCAGTCGCAGAACTTTCGAGCGTATCCGACGCATCATTGTTAGCTCGGCTCATGCATTGTTCACGAATGCAACAGTGAATGATGCGTGCGACGACAATGTGAGCATCAATACTGGCTTATACATTTGTGAGTAAAGTGACCTGACCTCAAACAATTGAAACACAATTTATTCTGACGTACAAGGGCGTTTCGTTGTATGACCGATTTTCGTAGGAAATCTTCGCATTTGGATAAATAATAACTGCCCGAGCAGCATATGCATTTCACTACTGCTACATTGTTGACCGAGGAGCGCGACTTATCATTTTTGGAACGACCGGCATCTTTCAAAGTTTCGTCGTAATCCGAGAGACTACGAATGCGATGAGTTAAAAATGAATTAATGTCCTTATAAGACGGCAGCACGTTGCTCGCAGGACGTTTCAAATTCCATTCGCTTTGAGTCCGCGGACTGAATTTTTGAGCAATGAAATAGACGAGAATGTCGTCCCATTGATCTACTGGACAACCATGATTATTCAATGCGGCTATCGATGCAGACACTGTGTCGCGAAACTTCTTTAAGTCGTTTACGTTTTCGTTTTCGTTTTTCATTTGAGGCAGACTCACAAATACATGCAAATGAAAGTAGACTAGAGTTTGCTCGTCATGCATTGTATTCATCGAGTAACAATTGCCACGCGGAATCATAATTTGCGTCAGAAATGCGCAGATTATTAATGAGCAAGGCAGCGTCGCCGATGACGCTGGTCTTCAAGTAATGAAACTTTTGCGTATTGGAGAGCGCCTCATTATTAACCACTAGTGACTCAAAAGTGTTTTTAAAGCTCTCCCAATCAGTGAGCTTTCCGCCAAATCTAGGAAGCGCAATACGCGGTAATTGAAAACAATTGTTATTCAAATCATTAATAGAGGAGTCAGTACTGCGATTACGCGAGACAATTTGAGTGCTAGTGTAGCGACTTATTGTTTCCTGCAGCGTGTCAGCAATATCCTGGTAGATTTCCTCAGCGGCCAAGAATTCGTCGCCTTGGAAATAAGACAGCGTCCTCTGCTCCTCCGCCGTGGCAATCTGCAGCAATTTGACGTGCAGGCGGCGACAGGAGTCCCAGAGTACTTCCAGTTGCGAAAGACGCCTTTGCGTCTTCGGAAGCGTCAGGTTCGCCTTGGAAAGCTTCTTAAAGTTCATTAGCACTCGTTTGAGCAAGTCTATTGTGGCACTCTGTTCGATCAACAAGTTTCTCACATCCGTCATGATTACGGCGAGAAAGATAACGAAAGTCACAATTTAATCGGTAGCCTTTTACTGCGATTAATCACTAACGGCATTTAAATGCAGCGAGCGCAACTCAATAAAGTAATAAGAGTACGGCTGCGGAAAGAAAGTAGTGTCTAATGTCACGGAGACAACGAGGCGCGTGATTGCGGCGCCAACGGAGCTTAGATCTCGAGCAACGTCTTCTTTAGAACGAGAAATACGCTAGAACGCGAGATTTCTCACACGAAGAGCGAGACGCGTGATAGCGGCGTCCGCGTTTGCAGGAGAGCGCGACGCGTGATAGTGGCGTCCGCACTTGCACTTAGAGAGAGTGAGACGCGTGATAGCGGCGTCTGCGGCACTACAGAAACTCGCACTTGCAATATGTGTTGCACTTACTCGCGGTAAAAGAGAGAGAGAGAGAGAGAGAGAGAGAGAGAGAGAGAGAGAGAGAGAGAGAGAGAGAGAGAGAGAGAGAGAGAGAGAGAGAGAGAGAGAGAGAGAGAGAGAGAGAGAGAGAGAGAGAGAGAGAGAGAGAGAGAGAGAGAGAGAGAGAGGAGAGGAGAGAGAG